AGAACTGATGTTCGAGGAAAAAAACTAGACGAATAAGAGTTTTTGGAGCACATAGGAACAGTAACAGAAAAAGGATGAGACTTAATTAAATGACGAGTAACACGAGAATGAATTTTAGTAGATGGCACAAGAGACGCTAGCTCTTTAGAGCAGTGCCCATTATAGTATTTGTAGAAAAGAGAAAGAGAAGCAACATTACGACAATGTGACAGAGGTTGAAGGTTGGCTGCTAGAGCAGGTCCAACTATGTTTACAATGCGTTTTTGCACCTTGTCTAAAAGAGAAAGGGCATCATTAGAAGATCCGCCCCAGATATGGCAACAGTATTCCACACAAGGCCGGATTTGAGATTTATAGAGATAGAGAATAGAATCCAGAGTAAGAAAGTGTTGAGCTTGATAAAGAGATGCAACTTTAGCAGATGCTAATTTTGCAACGGATTTGATATAAGGTTTCCAAGAAAGATCAGAAGTAAGAGTTAATCCTAGAAGATGAAGGGTAGGAGACTCATCGAGTACATTACCATTCATAAATATAGGAAGGTCTAAATTATTGCGATAACGATTGGCCGAAAAAAATATTACAAAAAAAATATTACAAAAGTTAGATTCCCCTAAAAAGGTCTCCAACCTTGACACTTTAAAATTAGGACTATTTAAAGACCAAAGTTAGACATCCAAATTACTGTAACTTAGCAACAGAAAATTGTGTTTCTGTTAAAGTTATTTCCCACTTGAACATTACATATTCAAGTTGTTCAATGTTTCTGTTGCAGAAAATTCTACAACTTTTTTCAATACTCACAAAACTATTTAACAAGTGTTTAACTGACTCTCGTTTTCCAGCTTAAAAAATGATATTTGTGGTTTTAAAAAAGGACGTTTGCAGTTTTGAAAAAGAACATTTGTGGTTTTAAAAAAACTGTAGATTGCTTAGACCTCTCTGTTACCCAATATTCTTACAATTATTATCTAAGTTTTTGAATATTTGATTAACAAATATCTCATCTAATATCAACAACTTACTCTCTGACAATCAATACAGAGATCAATCCTCTAGGCAACATTACTGACCTCACATAGAAATCGCAAAGTTAGCATCTGTTCTCTCTTTGTATAGTGCTTACTAGTAATGTACCGATAGCACATTTGTGGCTGATGCCGATATAGATGCTGATGGATGAGAAAAGGCTGATACTGCAGGATGGGAAAAGGCCGATACCGATTAACTACCTAATTAATAAAATTTGAAAGTATAAAACCATACAACTTAAAATTGTGTAAATTTTTTTCATGGAATCAGTACTAGTAAACAAAGACTTGGACTCAAATCATTAAATCATTATGTCAAAGAAAATGGTACTAAGATAAGCAGTTTACTTAAAATTCTTTAGTAATTTATTAGTAATTTAAATATCTAAACAACAATCATATAGAAATATAAAAGGCTATATTTGAACACATAGACAACAATGCTTAAATAGGTTACTTTTAAGTATAACAATGTAACAACACAAAATAAATTATTCTAAAAACAACATAGTAATAAAAATAAAAGTACATCCAGCTGTTAAATTATAGCTTATAAACATCATCTTAAGATTAAACAAATTTGGCTGTAAACAAAGTCAAAAATTTCTTAAGAAAATTCTAAATAATGCATAAAGTTTAGTTTATTTATTATTTAATTATTATCATAATGCATGATAAAAATATTAAAATGCCATTGGTTGGTAAATCAGTAAATTAATAAAAAAAAAGGCTGATGTCGATACCGATTCCTATTGTGCAAAAAGTTTAAACTGATGCTGATGCGAATTAATCATTACCTCACTAGTGCTTACCATTTTCTTACTTCTCATTTTATTCTCTACTCTATAAATTTCTTGTTCATCAATCATCATTTAAGATCATTCATCATACCATCTTATTCAGTATGGAATACTGTTGTCATAATTTAGCTGGTTTTTCTGGAAATAATGACCTATGGCGCTGGCACTGGAAATAATAACCAATCAATAATCAATGATTATCTGCTTTTGAAAAAAAATGATGTTTTTATCTCCCAATATCAATTTTTGTCAATCAAACTTGATCAGCAAGTATTGCAAAGCAAACTTAATAATGAAAAAGTTAAATACCTTTAAAAACAGTAAGTTATTAAGTTAGAAACTGAGTGTTTTTGATTATTAAAATAAAAATAGTTTCCATAACGATCTGTTGTTAACAGTATAAATAAAAATTTAAAAATATTATTTGATAAGCAAAAATACAGAATGATAAAAAATAAAAATTATTTTTGATTGAGAAAAAAAATGGTTGTTTTTTTTTTGGACTTTAAAGTCAGAAAAAATATTTAATTAAATCTTAATGAATTTTTATGAGTGAATTTTTTTATATTTAATTTTTTAAATTTGAAGTAATAATTAAAATTTCTTTTAGTCCAAAAATTTGAAATAGTGATGAGTTTAAGCAAAATAATTATTTTTGCTTAAATTGTTTAATAATCTCAACAGTTTGAAAATTAAAATTAAATGTCAAATTTTTGTTTAATTTTTGTTTTAAGTGTTAAAATTGTTTAAATATAAATATATTATAATTAAAAAAATATAAATAAATTATAATTAAAAAATAAAAGCTAAATATAACAGATAATTATTTCATTTAATAAGAAATTAATATCTGAATCACCCGCAAACAGAAAAGTAAAATTTTTTTCTAAAAAATATATTTTATTTTTCATATTATTTTGAGCCACCTAAAACAAACAATATTTTTTTGACAAAACCATCAGCTAAGAATAAAAAAAAGATTTACCTTTTTCTTAGTTTTTTTTTTTAAAAAAAGAGAACTTTATTTTTTTCTTAGCAGATTGGCAAAAATCTATCAATTGTTTTAGGCTACTCAAAATAATATGTTAAAACAACTGTATGGAGAAAGTGAAAAGATTTATTGAGAGTTAAAAGCAAAACATAAAATTGTATATTAAAAATTACACAAGCTCAAAAGGTGTAATGCATAAAGTGTTATGATTACAAAATATAAGTGAAAAATACAAAAATTTTATTATATCGTCTGGAAAAATATTTGAATCTCTTTTTATCAATATTATTTATATCAGCAGCTCAGTGTTGATTGGCAACAATTAACTAATTATTTCCGTTGCTGTATTATTAAAGTATATAATACAAAAGATAAATAAATTCCAGAGAAAAAATTTTTATTAAGGTTTGAGATTCTTTAAGTTCGAGATTAGAGCTCGAGATTAGAGCTCGAGATTAGAGTTTGAGATTCGAAATTTTTAAGTTTCAAAACTATTTTTACTTTGATTACAAAGTTTTAAGAAATTTTAAAACTTTGCAATCAAAACTTCTTTTAACAATCAAAACTTCTTTTAGTGTCTCTTGGCATAGAAGTATCCTGATACATGGAGTACTCAAACTGTTCAGACCTGATGTCAAACAGTTTATTGGTTATTATCAGGAACCTTTCTTGTCATTTTTGAGATGCATTTGGTTTCATTTTAAGTGTTTTCTCATTACAAACAGCTTTATATTGGTTGTAAATTTCCAGAAACTTGTTTAGTATGCTTACTTTTGAAACAATATAATTGTAAAAACCACATTAAGCCCAAATATATACTCTGGAGTAAACAGTATTCTTCTGTCACAGCATTGCAATGCCCATTACTTCCTTTGGATTTCATATCTCCAGAAGATGTCTTTTGACCACAAGTAAAGTTAGTCTTGATTGGCCAAAATCTTTTAACCCTGTATAAAATAATATACAAAAAGTATCCAATAACATGATCATAGTTGGCAATTGCTTGCTTGGTAGAGAACTCACTGGAATTTCAAAGAGATAAACAGATCTTCTTGGGTTGTAATTGATTGACTTTACAGCTCCTTTTTTAGCTTTTGCTCTTCCCATTTTTTTGAAATATTCAAACATTTGAACAAAAAATTGATATAAACATTTAGAAAATTAAATATAAAAATTAATAAACTGTGCCTTCAACTGTATTTTAAACATTAACTTGTTTGGAAATGCTGTCTGTTGAAATTCATTAAATAAACTGATTTTTAAAATTATGATATATATATATATATATATATATATATATATATATATATATATATATATATATATATATATAAATTATCATACCAAATATCTTATACAATGTACAAGATAATATTTTATAAACATGTATAATATTATTGTTTATAAAATAAAAATGCTAATTCTTTGTTAAAATGGATTTTATTTGTAGCTGTTGCAAGAATCAAGCATACTTGAATTTTTCCCTAGGAACTGTACTAGTTAGCAATCATACTAGTTAGCAAAATCTATAGGACACCTTAGCTAAATTAATTTTTTTTTCTGCATTTTAGGGTCACTTTAGTAAACATAGATGGGCCTGCCCTTGCTACCTACAACCATTGTCTCATCTTCATAATGAGATTTTCTATCTCTATTCTATAAATAATATTTTCCATAATAATGGGTGCTGATCTAAAGAGCTAGCATCTTTTGTGCCATCTTCTTAAATTCAATTTTGTGTTACTCGTCATTCAATCAAGTCTCATCCTTTTACTGTGACTGTTGCTGAGTGCTCCAAAAATTCTTATTGGTCTAGTTTTTTTTCCTCAAACATCAGTTCTTAGGAATTTGCTCCCTTCATCTTGATTTCCTGATTCATATAAAATGTTTCAAAAGAGATTCAAAAGAGATTCAAGAGAGATTCAAGAGAGTTTAAGAACCAAATAAGTAGTCATTAAAATATTATCATGTGAACAAAATATACAAGTTATAAACAATAATTTGTTATAATCAATAATTAATAATTTTTTTAAATTATTAGTTATTGATTATTACAAATTATTTTAAAATATTAAAATAATCAAAACTGAAAACATTAGATGTTTTTTATTATGATATTTTTGATTTTTTTATTCTTATTTATTTTATTTATTTATCAGGATTTTTTTTATTATGTAGATACTTTTATCCACGGCAACTTTTATCGCAACAGTTTTGGCATCCAGATCAAAAAGAAGAATTTCTACTTGAAGAATATGAGAAAAGAAGTCAGTACTATATACCACTTATTCAAGAAGTGGGTGTTATCAGTAAAGAAATCAATAATAAGCAGCTACTTCAGTTCTGCTTAGAAGTAAGGTTTTATTGTTTGTAAGTTTTAATAATGTATTATTGAATTGTAGTTTTTACTTTTGTAACCAAATTTAAGATTTTAGGTTCTTGTTATTGTATAAAACTTTTTGCACAAAAAAAAAAAAAAAGATTATTTTTTGTTAAGAAAGAAAGATTTTTATGTCATTAATTAGAGTCAAATCATAATTAACATTAATTAACATTGCAAAATACATTAATTAACAAGCAAAATACTTTGTAGTACTATCCTTTACTGTTTTTTTTTTTTTTTACTTTTGAATTATGAAAAAATAAAATGGATGATGTTAAACTTAATAAAGACTTTTTATTGCATTCGCATAGTCAACAATATGTAAAATACTTTTAAGTTATTCAAATACACTCTCTACCTATATTTGATTTATTACTCTCTATCAATTTATATTCTACATTTTAAGAGCCCATGACCACCTGACCTTTGTTATTTTAAAAAAGCTAAAAAAATTTTAGCACATGTTTTTAACACAAGTAGGAATGATAGTCAACTATGTATTTTACATTAATGATGGCTTTACAAGGTAACAGGTACTAAAGGTGTTTAAAATACTGGGTAAAATTTATTAAATATAATTTTTTATAGATCTTTTCCAAATAGTATTCAAAATCATCTCACCATTGTCAGACACTTAACATAATGGTAACCACTTGCCAGGCACCCTGATGTTGTATAATAGTGGAATTTTATATCTGTTACTTGCAGGGGTGTGGAGTCATAAAAAAAGTACTGACTCTGACTTCAGTTATTGAAATTTTTTAAGTACAACTCCGACTCCAACTTCAAAGCAAAATTCTGAAAAATTTTTTGAATTCTTTGAAAAGTAATAGTTAAAAATTTTTTTTACAAATTTATGAAGCGTTCTTTGAGCTTTAGTATGAATATTAGTTAATTGAATATTTTGTACATGCACATGCAATACCAAGAAGTTTTACTTTTAAAGTCGGAGTTGCGCTTTTTGTTTCAGACTCCACAGCCCTGGTTATCTTAGTAACTATTAGAAGTTGTTTCCTCATTAGCAATGTACTTTTTGCAGTCTAACCCTTAGCCAGACGAATATATGTGTTTGCAATATTGTTATGTATATGAAAGTGTAAGTGTGAAAACTTTAGTTAGGTAACATAACTAAAAAGAATTGCTGTTTGCTTGTGTTAAAAAAAGTACTAGTTTCTATCAGCATTCACACACATATTAACACTGTTAGTTTAAATTCTATCGGACATATCAACACTATTAGATTAAACTGTGATAAGAAAGAATTTAAAAGGGGCTTTAATAGCTACAATATTTTTTCAAAAAAATAAAGTTATTGTTTTTTTATTTTTTGAAAAATACAAATTGTCATTAAAAATTTGAAAAGCCATAAAAAATTTATGGAAAATTGTTTTGAAAATTTTTAAGGAATGAGACATATTTTAACATAAGAATGTCAAAACGTATGAGCATTCCAATCTCTATTTAAGTTGATATTTATGTTGATATTTATGTTGATATTTATGTTGATATTTAAGTTGATATATATGTTGATAATTTTGTTGATATTTATGTTGGTATTTAAGTTAATATTTGTCACTTTAAATATATTTAAAGTGACATACATATTCAAATAAACACTCAAAAAAGTAAAATGATTTTCTATGCCAATGCTCTTCAGTTCTTTTTTTTTTTTTTTTTTTTTATTTGAAGTTTTTTAAAACAGGAACCTCGTTGAACTAGGCTGTTTTGCAGAGAAATAAATTGAGCGCAGTACTACCAGGGACGTGGTGGGGATCAAATACGGAACTTCTCACTTATGAAACAAGCGCTCTACCACAATACCACTAGCGTATGTATGGGAAAGATTTAAAAACTTTTTGAAACAAGTTTTTTTTATTCTGTCAAAAACAATAGTTATTCTCTGTGTTGAGAATAAAGATGGTGGTTAAAGATCCTTGATAATTATAATTTTTATTTTTAATATGGAAAGTGTCCAAAAATACTGGAGTTAAGTATACTGCAGATATTAAAAATCCAGATATGCTAGAGTTAATAAAGTATTAGCTTTTGTCAAAAATGTTGTTGAAAATCATGCGAACAGATTCTTACAAAGAAAAAAATTTCAACAATACAAAGTTCTATTTATACCGTTACCGTTAAGTACCGTTAGTACTTAGCAGCAGATCTTAAATTACTAAACATAATTTTAGGCTTGTTGGGAAATGGAGGAAAATATTCTTGTTATAATGGATATGTGAAATTTTATGGTAGAAATCCAAAATTTCATGGTGGATATGTCAAATTTTTTGGCAAATATGCGAAATTTTTCGGTGGATATGCAAAATTTCATCAAAACATTTTGAGCAGTTCCTACAATATTGCAATTTTAATTTTGACCTGGTTTTCAAAAATAAACTGGTTTTCAAAAAAATATTTAAAAAAGTTTTTCATAATAAAACAAGAAATAAGAATTGAAAAAATATGAAAAGGAACAATTTGAATGCTAAAATAAAAAATGCTTAGAATGCTGATATATGAAAGAAACTTTCATATATCAGCATAGCTAAAAAAACTAATTTTCTTGCTCAATCTTTTTATAGCACCACCAATCCTGTTGTGTGGTGACTTTTCATCTGAAATGGCAGTTCTGTTTAGCTTTAAGGTCAAATTCATTCTCCAGTAAGCATAAATTGTAGAGGTTTTTTACAATTTCTGTACTGTTTTGTGCAACCATTGGTGAATAAATAAATCTTAGACAGATAAGTAAATTTTGCTTTTAATGTTGGTATAGTTAGTTGAAATCAGGGAGTGGTAAAAAGAAAGTAACAACTCCAACTTCGACTCCAGTTGTTGAAATTTTTTGAGTACAACTCCGACTCTAACTCCAAAGCAAAATTTTTGAAAAATTCTTTGAATTCTTTAAAAAATATTACGAGATCAGTTAAAAAAAATTTTTTAACAAATTTATGAAGCGTTCTTTGATGTTTAGTATGAAAATAAGGTTAATTGAATGTTTTGTACATGCATGTGCAAAACCGAGAATTTTCACTATTGGAGTCAGAGTTGCGATTTTGTTTAGCGACTCCGCAAAAAATGTTGCAACTCAGACTCCACAGCCCTGGTTGAAATACTTTGTACACGAAGGCTACATTGTTTATAATCTTTTAATTGTATTTTGTATGTTGTATTTATGTATGTATGTTTGTAAGTTGTATGTATGTATGTATGTGCTTTTTTATATTGTATGTATGTATGTATGTATGTATGTGTTTTTGTATATTGTATGTATGTATATATTTATATATGTATGTATGTATGTATTCATTTTATATATATGTATGAATGAATGTATGTATGTTTGTTTGCATGTTGTATACATATTGTATGTATGAATGACCTAAAGTTTTCTATTGCATGTTGTTAATCTCAAAATCATTTTCCTAAATTCTCATAAAATATGCAGTGAGCGGTACATTATGAGGATAATCATCACAATTTGCAAGTATATATTCTTTATTTTCCACTGAGGAAACAGTTTTTGAGAGTAAATTCATCAATACTTAATGGGTCCACTAACAATTTATCACAAAAAGAATAAATGTATTTTTCCATCTAGAAAATCTCTTTGGCCTTAATGAAGCAAATTTTAACTTATTTAAATTTGTGAAATTGTTTTCTTGGTTTAGTGCAAAAGTTCCTTAACAAAAGTAAATTTTTGTTTTGGTAATGGATGTTTTTCCAAAAAATTGGAATATTTAAATAAATTTTAATATTGTTTATGCGATACTTATTTGGAAAATATTAGGTCGTAAAAAAAGCTTTTTTGTTAAGATTAATTAAATTGATTATTTTATATGATTTTTTTTTTAAATAAAAGACTTTAAATTAAATATGATTTTAAAAATTTAAATTAAGTTTTGAAGAAATGTAAAATGGTTAGTAAAACATAGAATGATAGTTATTTAAAATTCCTTTCAAACTTAGTTTTAAAGTAATGTTAAATTGTTTTTATTAAAAAAGAATAGATTTTGTAATGAATTAGATAATCTTATTATCTAATTCATTACAAAAATCTCTTCAATATAGATTAAAATGTGAAAGTAAATAAAAAACTTTTTTCTTTTAAAATTGGAGAGGTGTTTTTGTTTAAGAGAATTCTTTTCACAAATGTATTTAAAATTTTTTATTTCTTGTTTATTCGATATTCTGGAACATTCTTTTGACATAATTTATTTATGAGCATAAATTTTGTTTACGAATATCTCATTAGTTAACTAATAGTCTATCTATAAATTGTGTGTATGTTTAGAAAAATTTGAATATTTCAAAAACAATATATTAAAATCTTGAAGATCTTCTTTGATCTCTGATCAAAGAAGAAGATCCTTGAAGATCTTCCTGAAGATCAAAGAAGAAGATCCTGACTTAAAGATCTTCCTGAAGATCAAAGAAGAAGATCCTGACTTGAAGATCTTCCTGAAGATCAAAGAAGAAGATCCTGGTTCTTGCTCTTCAAGATTTTCTTTTTTTCCAATCTTTTGTTACAAGTTTTTAAGAGTTTTTTTCCCAGGAGTGATATTCAAACAACTTCTAATTGCATTTTGTGGCTCTCATTGTAGCTTTCCAAGTAAAAAAAATAAAGTAAAATAATTGAAAATTAAGTATAAAAAATTAAAGTATAATAATCTTGTATGTACAACTGTATAGAACATCATTGTGTTGTGTATTTCTTATATGTGGCTTTTGGTAGTCATGACAATTAAATTACCTAATCATGTACGACTTCCTAAGTTATAAAATGATTTTTTTACTTCTA